GGGCTGGATCACTAGACTGCAGAGGGGAACAGCCACCACACGTCTGTACCATCAGGACAGGTTTCTTCACTTCTCTGTGCCCTGGGTTGAAGTCATACAGGGCTATGTCAGTGTTAGCTCACAGTAGGTGTTCAATAAATCATAACTATCGATTCACTTATCACAAATTATTTTGTGGAAGAAATAGCATATTTCTGAGCATCAGTTACCAAAATGAGAAATGTAGCAGGAAGAAGGGGTGTAGAGGAAAGATTATGAGCTAGACTTTAGGCATAGTGAACATAAGGTGCACGTGGGGCAACCAGGTAAGAAGCTGAATATCTGGAATTTGGGAGTCTGGTGAAGCCAAGACATGTGAGAAGTTCCTCAAGTGTAAGAAAGAGAAGAGGAACAGAGAGAGAGCTAAGGATGGTGTCTGGAGGAGCTCAACATCACAGGGCCCAGCAGAGTGGGGATGTGTCTAAGCCACAGAACAAGCAGAGATAGGAGGGCAAGCTGAGAACATGGGGGCAAGAACTTCAAGGCAGAGAAAGCTTCAAGAAGAGGGGTGTGATTGATCTTACATCATGTGTACATTTTCTTTCTTTTTATGTTTACTTATTTATTTAAAATTATTAAAAAAATTTTTTTTAAGTTTACTTATTTATTTTGAGAGAGAGTATGTATGTGGGAAGGTCAGAGAGAGATGGAGAGAGACAATCCCAAGCAGGCTCCACGTTATCAGCACAGAGCTGGACAGCAGGGCTCAACTCATGAACCATGAGACCATGACCTGAGCAGAAATCTAGAGTCCGACATTTAACCAACTGAGCCACCCAGGCATCCCTTCAAATATTTTTTTTTTAAGCTTATTTATTTCAGTTTATTTGTTTTTTGTTTGTTTGTTTGTTTTTGAGAGAAAGAACAGGGGAGGGGCACAGAGAGGGAAAGAGAGAATTCCAACCAGGCTCCACACTGTCTGTGCGGAGCCCCACGTGGGGCTCGATCCCACGAATTGGGAGATCATGACCTGAACCGAAATCAAGAGGCTGAGCCACCCAGGTGCCCCACGTGTGGATTTTCACATGCTGCAGCATGACCAAGGAATACAAAGGGCAATAAAGCATCCGACGGGCTTGGCAGCAACAAGACACTGCTTTCATGGGGTTCATGGGTTGGAAGCCACCTTGACACAAGTTAGGGAGAGAGTGGGGCATGAGGACGTGGGACTGATGGCTGGGAAATGGAGCCGAGACATAGCAGACAGTAAGTAAAGGGGAGTGTGGGGTTAAGAGGGAGACTTTTTGGTGTGTCTACAAAAGGAAGGGAAGTCAGAGTCACCAAACATGGTAAGTTCACACAGTATTGACTGAGGTGAGCTGTGAAAGGTGGCATTGCCCAGAACACACGGCCATCGTGAAAGTGTGTGCAAAGTGTTCTAGCACCAAACCCCAGCCCCAAAGACTCAGGGACCTCCGACAAAGGCAGTGCTGTGGGAGCTGGGAATGGCGGATGAAGATGAGTTTGGTGAGGAAACTGGGCTAGAAGGGGGGCCAGTGCAGGCGAGCACATCAGCAGATGCCAAGGCAGAGAGGCACAAAGGAGGAAGCTTGCTTCAGGAATGGCAGCTATTCAAGGTGGGGGACACACAGAAAGGCTGAGGGGAAAGGAGGGGCTGGCTACAAGGACTGGATAGGGCCAGGCTGCCCGGGCCAGCCCAGGTGCTTGAACATCACTGTGAGGTTACTGATGGATTTTAAGTAGCAGAATTAAATGACCAGGTTCTTGCCTTAGCAAGGAAACTCATATGGAAGACAAATTGTCCTAAGAGGCCAAGGGTCTGAAGCAGGAAAAGAGTGGGCAGGAAGAGAGGAGGAGGGGTTACCTTTTAAAGGTCTTAGGAATGTGGTATTATCAGAGTCCACTCACAGCTAAATGAAGAGGGCAGAGAGGAGGGCTTAGTCCTCCAGGGATGACCTGGTAGACCGTGGACCACTGCATGAGACAGAGATTGTGAGCTGGGGTGTGGGAAGAGTCATGAGGCAATGAGTTCAATGTAGACACTCTAGTTATGACTAACTTCCAGGCTATCAAGAGGAAGGTGCTCAGCAAGTAGATAGAAATATGGCTCTAGGCCTCAGGGGGAGTCTGGCTGAATAGGAGTTTAGAACATATCACCCCCTAGTCATAGCAGAAGCCCTAAGACATCTGCTCAAGTGAGTACCGATCTCTTGGGCTTTGGTGCTGGCTCAGCTGGAGCAGCGCCTCTCTCACTGATTACAACTAGACTCCAGGTAGAATACACCACAAGCAACTACCTGAGGACTGTCCCAAGGTGTAAGAGTAAGAGATTGAATGGAGCCAAAACTTGAATAATGACCCATAAAAGGGATGAGTTTCATTTTCCTTTTCTTCCTTTGAGTCCTGATTTTGAAATATGGGGTACAGGGTGAATCACACAACTGAATGGCAGGCATTAAAAACAGAAACTGGAGAAGACCCTTAGAGGTAGCCAGAGGACAAGGACCAGGTTGCCCTGCATGAGGGAGACTGTTTTTTCTTTCTCTCTTTCTTCTCACCCTAGTCCAAGCTGTGAAAGTACACAGCCAGGGGCCTGCACTCCTAGTACAATGTCAGGGCAGCTACCCAAAACCCGAAGACAAGGCTGGCTCTTTGACCAAAGGTACCAGAAAAAGGGGCCCCTTGTATCTGAAGACTGTAGGTGAAATCCCTATTATTTTGTCCATCTCTTTTTTCTGGCCGCTTTGCCCTAAAGACGGTTCCAGATGCACAGAACTGTACAACAGAGGAGGGGGTTACTAAAACCTGTCTTTATGAGAGAAATCTTTCTTTCTGGTCATAGGAGCTTTGAAGGGGGTTTCTAAGTCTGCATATGAACTGATGAAGTGATTCACCCCTAGGCTCTGCATGCATGGGGAAGATGCAAAAAAAAAAAGCATACAGCATAAGCTTCAAGAACTAAACTACCATATAAACCACCGCCTAAGTCCCAGCATAGCCTGAGTGGGGCTTGTGTGGGGCAGACATGAAGAAGCTTTGAGAACTGACCTGATGCTGGAACTAACACCCGCAGAAGGCTAAACAGAATTTGTAGTATGAACCTAACCAGGTTGACTGCATGCCAAGGAAAAACAAAACGGGCAAAACAAACAAACAATATTTCTCAGAGTTCTAACAGGATGATACCGAAAAGACAGCCAACAAATGCCGACCCCCAAAATGACCCAGATATTGGAATTATCACACAAACACCTCAGGGCAGGCATTATCACATGCATTTCATTCAGTTTAAAATATTTTCGCTCCTCTGAACCCAGTAGGGGTAAAACAAGGACAGGCAAGAGTGTCAATCAGGATGGGTCACTAGATCAGACTCATCACTTAAGAGTTTCATAGTTCTGGGGCACCTGGGTGGCTCAGTTGGTTAAGTGTCCAACTCTGGCTCAGGTCAGGTTCGTGAGTTTTAGAGACCCGCATCAGGCTGTCTGCTGTCAGCACAGAGCCTGCTTTGGATCCTCTGTTCCCCTCTCTCTCTGCTCCTCCCCTCTGGTGTTCGCAAGTTCTCTCTCTCTCTCTCTCTCTCTCTCTCGTCTCTCTCTCAAAAATAAGTAAACATTAAAAAAAAAGTTTCATAGTTCATTACCAAACGGTGTAAGGGCTAAGATTCTACAACAGAGCATTGCCATGAAGTAGCTTCCTTAAATCATGTGAATTGCAGAACAGCTGAATAAAAGCAGACTTGTGATATTCCAGGGCTTGTGTCTGCAAATGCTTTCTGTCAAGGGCCAGAGTGTAACTTATTTTAGCTTTGCAAGCTAAGAGGTAAAATCACAGTTACCAGGTAGGTAGGTTAAAGGTGAGAAACCTCTGACCTGCTTGACCCTGACTGCCTGGGGTGGGCCATCTGGGATCCAATGGAAACACACCCAGGATAAAAAGCTACCAGACTGAAGAGGGTCCTGGTGGGTCAGGCAGACATTGGTGGGGACCAGGTCACTTTTGCTTTTTGCCTCAGATACCCCCAGATCCCAATGTGCCCTTCTCCTGAGAGCTAAGCAGTTTCAGTTTGGTCAGCTTGCTGGAGGCTAGGCTCCTGAGTCGCTGACTGAAATTCCACAACGGAGTGCCTGGTAATAGCCAACAGTCACCAGTGTGTAAGTGGCCACCAGCACAGGCCCTGGGCAGCAACACTGGGAGCGGAGGAGGAAACAGGGATGGAGGGGACATCCCAGATTGATCTCCAGGTCTTAAAGCGCTAGCCTTCTCGATCAGTGCCCGGCCTTACGAAAACAGATGGTGGGCCGGATTTGGCCCACAGGCTGCCAGGTTTGCTGGCCCCCGTTCTTCTGCCACTAAAAACTTCAAAGATAAGCTTGAAGGACAACCTAATGAAATGTGAATCGCAAAAAATTTCTTTATCAAAATATAAGGTTTCATATTTGAATACAATGTGCATTTTTACACTCACATTATTTTAAATGAGACTTTACATCAACCCCTCCCTCCTTGAAGTTCACTATCAGGTGCAGGAAATGTGAACACTGAGTTTTATAAAACCTTTTCCGGAGTCATGAAAGTGTTACTTTTGGAAATAGAAAGCATTGAAAGACAGACTGGTTAGGGGTGCCTGGGTGGCTCAGTTGGTTAAGTGCCCAACTTCGGCTCAAGTCATGATCTCACAGTTTGTGAGTTCGAGCCCCACGTCAGCCTTTGTGCTGACAGCTCAGAGCCTGGAGCCTGCTTTGGATTCGGTGTCTCCCTCTCTCTCTGCCCTCCCCTGCTCACACTCCGTCTCTCAAAAATAAACAACCTTAAAAAAAAATTCAAAACACAGACTGGTTAAACCATATTACTTCCAAGAATTTGAGAGTACTTCCTACTGCAGAGCTGAGAAGTGGAAGCAGATGAGATAGGCCTTGTTAGTAGACGTCATAGTAAGACATGAGAGGGGGAGGGCAAAGATGTTACTTGTCACGACATCGCCCGCTTGTGAAACCTACCCTGATAAATGGTTTCATCTTCCTCAGTCACGTAGGCATTGGCTCCCCAGATCACCATCTTATTGATGTAAGATGGATATCTTGCAGCTGCTATGAGTGCTGTAATACCACCATCGCTCCACCCCAACAAGGACACCTTCTTAAACTTCAGTGTCTGTGATAAATACAGAGAAATGCACAGCACAGGTGATTGCTCCTCTCTGCTAGAAGAATCTGATCATTAACAATCATCCAAATCAATACAGTGTGGGGTTTGGAGCATCACTTGATAATTAAAGTCCTAGAGGCCAGCATTTGATGACAGAAATGTTTTTTTCTCATTTAGTTCTGGTGTAAATGTAAGTATCATAAAAACCTAAGTACACAGTATTGTTTTGAATTATGAGGGAACGACATCTTCTGTTTGGATAAAATCTCTGGAAACAGTGGAGATCAGCTGTCCTTAGAAATGACAAATCACATGTGCATGCACACCCACACCTGAGCTAAGACTTGAGACTAGTAATGTAGATTAGACAGGGGAACTTGATATTTCCTGGATGAAATGAAGTCACTGCATCTGATAAAACCACTGAGGGCAACTGTGGGAAGAAGTGTCTGGAGACAGGCTGGAGGAGAATGGTGTCACAGGAGGTTATGCTAGTCCTTATATCAACCAGGCTCTGAAAATGTGTTTGACAAGGAAACTGAACAAAGATTATATCTGACAGATGTTGCCTAGGGGTAAAACTAGAATGACTTGGAAAATTAAAGATGTAACAAATATCAGTCCAAGATACTGATGGGACTATAAATTGCTAGAAGTCGCATGGATAATAATTTGGCACTATCTTGTCCAACGAACATTTGCATCTTCTATAACCTGGCATCATCCCCTAGATATGTATGGAACTTTTGCACATGTGTACCAGGAGACAGGTGTAGGGTGTCCACACCAACGGTGTTTATAAAGGAACTAAAACGTCCATGGACAAAACAATGTTCACTGCCCTGCTGCTCATAACCACAAAAAAAAAAAAAAAAGGAACTTAAAAATTAAGTTATTTATCTACCATTAGAGATATATGAAATAAAACAGTACATCCCTACAATGGACTACTATGACTATTATAATATTTATGTAAATTTATATTTATTAACATGAAAGTATTTCCTCGACAAACTGTTCTAAGAGTAAGTTGGAAAAACATTAGATATAGTATGATGCCATCAATACAATCCTGTGTATTTATATGTGTCAGAAGATTGGCTGGAAAGGGAGTCTCAAAGTCATAACATTGATATCTCTAGTTGGATTGTGAGATATTTCTACTTCCTTATTCACACCTATTTGATTGAACTTGAATTTTCTATAAGAATCACATGGCATCACCCTTGTAGAAATAAAAACAAAAACAAAATAGATGAAGACAGGCCCAGTCATCCTCCCTCCTCTGGGCTCTTCCCTGAGAGACCCACCTTCATCAAATCAACTGCATCTTTTGCATCCCTTTCAAAAAAGTCTAATGGGAAATCTCGATCTGGGGGTCTGGAATGTCCATATCCTCGAGGATCCCAGGCAACCACTGTGAAGAGCTTTTTATTGAGGTTCTTAATCTGAGGTCCAAAATCAGTCTCTCCACTTCCTAAAAACAGCCACTTGGTTACCCTCAGGTGAAGGATTTCATTATTTCAAACACATTACAGTAAAAGCAGAAACAACTACAATTTTAAAACAAAGTAACTAGTTTCTACTCAAAGTTAGACAGTGGGATGCAGTCAGCAAAATAGTCTTGTGATGATAAAATCCATTTACTGGAAGGCTGACTTCCTTTCCTGGTAGAGTTCAGACCTGCCTTTTGTCTCCTCCCAGTGGCTACTTTGAGGACAGAGGCTCCAATACATTTGGCCCTGTATTATTTCAGCATTTTTGATACTTTTTCAATTAATCTTCCTTAAAAAAAAAAAAAAAAAAGGAATTCATGAAATTGCATAGAAATTGACTTATTGATATGATATGTTTCTGGGTTATTTTTTCTTTCCTTTTAAAAAACTGGCTGTTATAGGGGCACCTGGGTGGCTCAGGCAGTTAAGCATCCAACTTCGGCTCAGGTCATGATCTCACGATATGTGGGTTCGAGCCCTGTATCAGGTTCTGTGCTGACAGCTCAGAGCTTGCTTCAGATTCTGCGTCTTCCTCGCTCTCTGCCCCTCCCCCACTTGTGCACGTGCGCAGGCGCGCGCGCTCTCTCTCAAAAAAATAAACATTAAAAAAAAATGACTTATAAATGAGAGAGATCCCAATATTATCTGTCAACAAATCTATGAGATTTGGTACAAGTTATTCAAAGGAGGATTCTAAATTCCCAGGTGTTTTTTACTAAGCAAATGTGAACAGCCCTGAAGATTTTATTTTCTGGTTATAAATAAATACTAGAAAACTCAACGAAAACACTGAAATCAGGGGGAGGGCAGGATGTGGAGGGAGGAAATCAAATTAATTATTTCATTAAAACACCAGCAAACGTTAACCAGCAGAACTATGTTCTTGAGCCTGTGGTGGACCTGACTGGCGATTCCCAGCCCACCTGCGAGGTCACGGCCACTGTGTGCACACACCTACTGCATGTGGCCCGGAAGGCCAGACTCTCAAGGAGCCCAGTCTAGGGACCAGTCAGCATTTCATTTTTATTTTTATTTTTATTTTTTTTAATTTTTTTTAATGTTTATTTATTTTTGAGACAGAGAGAGACAGAGCATGAACGGGGGAGGGTCAGAGAGAGAGGAAGACACAGAATCCGAAGCAGGCTCCAGGCTCTGAGCCGTCAGCACAGAGCCCCGTCGGGCTCGAACTCACGGGCTGTGAGATCATGACCTGAGCCGAAGTCGGACGCTTAACCGACTGAGCCACCCAGGCGCCCCAGCATTTCATTTTTAAAGTCTGCTTACTTTCTAAGAACTTGTAGCTCAGGCCACACATGGATACTGAACATCTTGCTTGATAAACAAGCTACTATTAGAAAATGTCTTTCAAGATGTTGCAGGATTCTGTTACAGGATAATGTTAATTATTATAGGACTACCATCCTTCCTGGAAAGATCTATCTTTCTCAACATCAGGTAAATAAATCATTCAGGAAACCTAAGGCAAAAATATAAATGGATTTCAAGCGCATGTCTACTGCTCTGACACACGAAGCATCTCTTGTGGTCCCTGGACTGAAGAGACTTCCACATGGGAACCACCCTGAAGGAGGTGCAGGAGGTGAGAAGGTGGGAAAAGGGAACAGTTTATCTCAAGACCAATTTCAGAAATGATGAGATGCTTCCTTTCTGGCACACAGGTATACATCTGAATACCAAATACTAAATACTAAAGAATACTAAAACCTTTAAAAAGTTATTTTAAGGAATAGTTACCAGTATATGATACCTGAGAAGGAAACACAATACTGGTTGCCTGTGGGGAAGGGTACTGGGTGCTAGGTGACAGAGGACTGGAAGAGAGAATCTCACTGTTTTTAATTTGGGGATCAGGTTAACGTTTTACATAAAGAAATTAAGTTATGAAAAGTGTTTTATACCTGGATCACACAGTACTGAAATAATGGAAATTTAAGTCGGTAACTTGTTCACTACTTTACAGATACCTTTAGACCTACACCAGTCAATAGAGTAAATCTCCTCCTTTGTTACAAAAGCTTAGGAGGAAAAAAAAATACTAAATACTATCTAGACAAAGATGCTTCAATAGCTACAATAGTACCACAATCAGCTAAGGCTCAGTCAAGTGGAACCAACAAGTAATTGAAAATTTTAGCATTTTATTTTAGAAGAAAAAAGTCGTAAGGAAATAGTATATATTGGGATTATTTAACTAAGTCGAAACAATATTAAAGCCCTTAAAACCAAATCTGAGATGTCCTGGGATTGCTGGAAATTATCCGCCTAAACTGTCTACATGTAAATTACTTATCTGGAAAATGAGACAGATTCAGTTGGCTTCACCATGCTCCATTCATGCCAATTTAATTTTGATTTACAAAAAGGCTTTAAACTAAGCTTGTTCTTAGCTCTTATTTTAATTGAGCATATAATCAACTGCAACAGGGCAATCCATGTTTTAGCACTGGAAGTCTTGTATCCTGGAACCCCTCAATTCCAGGCACACTGGGATGGTTGGTCACTAGCTCATCTTCTAGCTTCATCTATCCCTTCTTCCCACACCCCTTTCCTCGACTCCTATCATCTTCCCAAATTGTAGGCAACTACACAGTATGTCTGTAGGAGAAAAAAACCCGGGTATTTAAAAGAATAAAGACTACATAGAGTAAAATGTTGCCTTTCTTTTCTGAGTCACTTAAATTTGTAGCAAATATTAAAGCATTTAAGGGGTGCCTGGGGGGCTCATCAGTTGAGCGTTTGGCTTTGGTTCGGGTCATGATCTCGTGGTTCATGGGTTCAAACCCCGTGTCGGGCTCTGCACCGACAGCTCAGAGCCTGGAGCCTGCTTCAGATTCTGCGTCTCCCTCCCTCTCTCACAAATAAATAAATAAAACACTTAAAGCATTTCAGCAAAGCACTAAAGTTAATAATCAACATTTGGCATCTACTATTGTGAATGCATCCTAGACTACACAGCATGCAAATTCCATGAAAAAACTTCCAGACCCAACATTCCAGGAAGCAGCAGGACCGCATGCTCTCCCTCTCCAGTCCGCTGATAATGCAAGTGGACACCGTTCACAGCCACTTTGGCAGAAGTTACTGAGGTGCTGGAAGAGAAAAATCCCATCCCCAAAGAAAAATTACTTAGCACAAATGTTAATATGACAAAATTGTCCTTTTACATACCCGCATCAGCTCCAGGACCCTCCTCAGGCTTCTTGGATTACTCTGATGTGTGCTTAAGTTTTTCCAACCTGAAAAGGGACCTTTCTAGACTGCAGATCTGAACTGTGCCTTCATATGTGAATATCCTACAACACCAGCCCAGGACTTACCCTACAAAAGTACTGACATGTTGCTGCAACCAGTGGCCACACAGGTCCCATGGGCACATGCCTGGTGAGCTGGAAGCCAGGGGGCCAGTGTGCAGGCTGACACAGGAGCTCCACACAATGGAACATTAGGGTCAGCAACAACAGGGCAGACCTTGGAACAGATCTAAAGGGATTACCTGAACTTCAGCTGCATCGACAGAGTTCCTAAAGGTGAGATGGTCTCAGGGGTCCCCAGGCAGTCCTTTAGGAGTATGGCCTCTCATGTTCTCTAGCCAGCCACAGAAGCATTCTTAGCAGGAATGCCTGTCTGCACTGCTATGGCCAGACCAGTTTTTAACATGTTGAAATATTTGTGTTGTTAAACAGCCAGGTCCATAAGCTTCCATCCCAAGAGCCCTCCCCTGTACCGTGGACCCTCCTTGGCCCAAAACCTCCGACACAGGATCTAACTGGACATGTTGGCACAGGAGTGCACCTTGGGCCAGAATCAAGGCCAGGGTCTGCTCTGACTCACATGTGTACCTTACCAAGGGTCCTTCTCTGAAGAAACTGTCCTCTCCTGCTCTTCCAGAAGCTCTAGAACGACTATGCAGGGATATATAGCAATAGAAGACATACATGGCTCCTACATCAGGCCCTAACAGCCTCCCCACCAATTTCCCAGACAGCTGAGTGACACACGGAAGGGACATTTTGGTATGCCAAGACAGATGCGAGAAGGAGGTGCTCCTCTTCTCCACACAGAATATTAAGGAATTTAAATTAACCGCTGCCTCTCTTTTTCTTTTACATACTCTTTACCCCTATTTCTGCAGTTAGTTAAAATGCTTATTGAAATGAAGCACTTTTTACAAAATGAGGTGCTCTTTCCTCTTTGGGTTTCATGTCATCACCCATTTCAAATGAGCATGCAGAAACGGATGTGCTGAAGGCAGGTACACCAAGTCTTAACACAACTTCTGCAAATACGACAGAATTGGGTGGTAATAAAGCCGGGACATAACCATAAGCTCATTACCTATAGGAAAATTATGAGGAGCAGTAACAAAGCCACTGAACAAGCGTGGTGGCATACTGACACTGCCATGTTACTTATCAATGTCCTATTCTTCTGAGTCATTCATTTTTACTGTTCAGATGGCTCTAGGATCCAGATAAAAGCAAATAACACTCTAGTAATAAAGATTCATTTCCACAAACATTTATTGACACATCTGTTTTGCCCACAATCTAGTAGGAGGGAAGATAAAAGACACAAGAGATTTGCTCTGCAATCTGTCGGGGAGGTGTAGGTTATGACTGAGACAAGAAGCATGAGGAGCCCAGTTGGAACAAGTTATTAGTGTTTCCTATATTCACCACACAGGAATGAGGCAGCTCCCTAACTAGAGGTGACTAGCATTTGCATGGCTCATGTTAGTGATAACATGTACCTTTATTACACCTCATGCCCTAAAGATCTTTGAGGGTCTCCCTTCCTTGGCGGTATTCAAGAATGCTTGTAAGAATCATCTTGTGCCGTGAGGAGGTTATGCACAATATCTTTCTCAACGTCCAAGTTTTCATGGCTGGGTGTGCTCTCACTAGGTGCATCTGTTCAGGGGCCCCCACAAGGGCACTGCCTTCCAGGGGCTTCCTTTCCTTCAGCTTTCATGATCATTCTGAAGTCTCTTCTGCAAAAAACCTCTATATTCCCTTTGCATTTTGCTATACCTGTGTTTGGATTCCCTGTTCCAAACTTTTCCTCTCAATTAACCCCATCCCATCTTTTGGTTGCCTAAAATGAATGTAAAAACCATGTAGTCTAGATTTGGCATAATGGAACTCAATGTCAGGGAAGGGTTTACTAAGGCAGAAGATGGTTTTAGAAGGGAGACAGGGGCACCTGGGTGGCTCAGTTGGTTGAGCGTCCGACTTCGGCTCAGGTCATGATCTCGCTGTTCATGGGTTCAAGCCTTACGTCGGGCTCTGTGCTAACAGCTCAGAGCGTGCAGCCTGTTTCAGATTCTGTCTCTCCTCTCTCTCTGCCTCTCCCCTGCTCATGCTCTGTCTCTCTCTCAAAAATAAACAAACATTAAAAAAAAATTTAAAAAAAAAAAGAAGGGAGACAGAGACCATTATCAGGGTTGAGTAGAGGTATCTGAAGAGGAGTGAAAAAGTAGCATTTGAATTAACTTCCAAGAGGAGTAAAATTTTGAAAAAAAGAATGTGGTGGGGAGGGTGCTCCTAGAAGAAGAAATAGCATGATCAAAGGCCCGGAAGCAAGGGACATATGTCGGGGGAAAGGCAGTGTTCAGTCTGGCAGGGGTACGGGGGCAAAGAGTGAGCAAAGTTTGGGGCCAAATGCCAAGGGGGCTTGAAGCTAGGCTGAGGGGAAAGAAAATGCCCCTAGTGCCTTGTCATCAACATCCTGTATGTCACCACACCAGAGGTACATGCCACTATCATATCAGCCCACCCACTGGGGTTAATGGAGGCTGCCAAAAACCTTTCATCAACCTCCAGGTGGAGGAAACAGGGCAGAGAACTGTTTATGAATGAAAGTAAATCAAAGCAAATCAATTACAAATACAAGAAAAAGCATTTTATTAAAAAACAGAATTACTGAATGATTTATTTTCACATAAATATAAGACCAATGAAATGAGTAAAGCATTTTTTCTCCAGCTTATCAAGGGGCTCTTGGACAGTAATTCAGGCCTCACGTTATGTGTGTTAAAAGAAAAATCAGGCTGCAGAGACCAGGCCTTTGATGGCCCTGAAATGTGCTTATTACTTGAACCACAATCAAACTCTCACATAGGAAAAAGGATACAAAACTTCAGAAAATTTATAAAGACCAAAAATGAATCTTTCAGGTGTCAATCCATCTTTACCACCACTTTCTCCCTAATAATCACGTTGCTTCTCTAACCCAGGTGCTCTTAAGCAGGTGTGCTCATTAGAATCACCTGTGGAGAGTTAAAACCATTAACTGTCTAGTGGGTGTCTCGGGTGGCTCAGTCAGCTGAACCTCTGACTTAGGCTCAGGTCATGATCTCACAGTTCAGGAATTCAAGCCCCACATCAGGCTCGCTGCTGTCAATGCAGAGCCCACTCTGGATCCTCTCTGCCCCTCACCTGCTTGCACTCTCTCAAAAAAATAAATAAAACATTTAAAATATATATATAAACTGCCTAGGACAATCCTGGGAGAGACTATCACTCAATGACTGGGGCAGAACCCTGACAGGTGCTTCCTTTTTCTATTATTTTTTTATTTTTATTTATTTTTTTAATGTTTATTTATTTTTGAGACAGAGAGAGACAGAGAATGGGGGAGGGTCAGAGAAAGAGGGAGACACAGAATCCGAAGCAGGCTCCAGGCTCTGAGCTGTCAGCACAGAGCCCGACGCGGGGCTCGAACTCACAGACCGTGAGATCATGACCTGAGCCGAAGTCAGATGCTCAACCCACTGAGCCACCCAGGCACCCCTCTATTATTTTTTTAAATATGAGAGGTTTCACAAATTTGCGTGTCATCGTTGCACAGGGGCCATGCTAATCTTCTGTGTATCAGTCCAATTTTAGTATGTGTGCTGCTGCAGTGAGCACACTGACATGTGCTTTCAATAACACCAAAACTCTACTGTACTATTTATTCATTCATTCATGTACTTCCTAAACTCCTATTGCTTTGGGCCCTCCATGTAGTTTAGAGGCTGGCAGGAAAGACAGATAATTAAATCTGCAACTAGCAGGTACTATGCAGTTTGCCTAGTATTATGACAGAGAAGTTGGGGGATACAGGAGATCCTGAGGGTGCAGACATCAGACACTAAGTTCCCCACACCTTAACCGACATCTACACAGCTGCTAATCAGCCCCTTTTTATGAGAATATTTCCAACTTCCCACTATATCAGTGAGGGTCAAACTTAGATTTGCATCATCTGGCAAATTTAAATCTCCAGATGCCCAGACTGTACTAAATCAAAATCTCTGTGGTGGGATACAAGCATCTGGGTTTTTTTTTTTAATTTCCCAAGAGATTCCAATAAGCAACCAAGGCTGAGAACAACTATACTGAGTTAATTTCTTGTAGAAGGAAAAAAAAATTTCTATCTCCCTATTGAAAACAGCCTATATAGGAAGGCACGCTCACCTAGAATAGCCTATATCTTACCTCATATTTGTCCTTGACTCTCTTTTTCTGGGTGGCTGGATAGGCAATTTTGTGAAAGGGTTAGAAGGAGGTCAGGAGCAATACAACACAATATCTTCCGGACTGAGGGGGCTTGAGCTGCTCCCTTCAAAGAAGGAAAGTTTACTGTGGTGGAAAGCAAGAATTTAACAGCTTGCAGAAAATAAATTAAAACTCACATTTAGTTTCATTATTAAGCTAAATAATGAACTCTACTAAGAGCTTACATTATATTTACCCTAATTTTACCTTTGAGGAACCTGAAGATTGGAGTGTTTAGACAACTTGCCCCAGTCACATTACTAGTTATTTATACCTGAGTGTACGACATCAGAGCCTTTGGTATTTTGCCCTTCGCTTAGAAATAAAAATGGGGTAGGGAGACCTGGGTGGCTCAATCGGCTAAACATCTGACTTCAGCTCAAGTCATGATCTCACAGTTTGTGAGTCTGAGCCCCACATCAGGCTCTGTGCTGACAGCTTGGAGCCTGGAGCTTACTTCGGATTCTGTGTCTCCCTCTCTCTCTGCCCCCGCCCTCCGTCTCTCAAAAAAATAAATAAGTGTTATAAAAATTAAAAAAAAAAAAAGAAAAATGGGGTCAATTAATAAAACACATCCTCACTTTGAAAGTCCTACACATTCTCTGTATCTCTTATGTTCGGCTATTTCTGTTGTATATTTTTTCCAAAGTAACCATTAGCTCTAATATAGTATTAGCTACCCCCTAGGGCTTGGAATTAAATGAATTTTGAGGACTTATTTTGCATCTTTTACACACTGCATTATTAGATTTTCTTATCTGTATCATTACTAATTGTAGCTACTAATTGTAGCTACTATTAGTGAATTATTATTATATCCCAGGACTTGTACATTTATTGTCTCAAATCCTCAGAAGTGCAAGGCACTTGGCTCGGAGAGGTTAAGTAACTTGCTTACATTTGTGCAGCTAGGAAGTAGCAATGCAGCCTTGTAAACACCAGAGGCCTTGTTTTTTCTGTAACCTGGAAGCTGAACAAAGTCCCCAACAGGGCTCTAGCCCTGGGGCCACTCACCCGGACTGCCAGACAGAAGGAACAAGGCAGTGCCAGGGAAAGGAGGGTCTTTGATTCTCAGGCAGATCATCCCAAGGTTGAACTCAGAAAACAGTTTTCTTCCGACAGCTTGTTAGGTTCTATAAATTACTAATACTGTAACTGTATGTGACATACAACTGCAGGTAGAAAAGCCTTCTTACCCGGTCCTGGAACAAACCACTTTACAGACTACAAAATAAAAAAGAGAGTTCCAAACAATAGACTTACAAAAACAAGCTTTTGGAACACAACTCAAGTGTAGGTTGGGCACCGGCTGTTCTGAGGCAAAGGTTTTAAAAGCAGCTCTTTCACCTGCTTACATTGGGCTGCAGCCTCATTTCAGGATTAACGAATACCACTGCTGGTTTTCTCTGATTACATGTAATGTCAACTTGCAAATGCATTTATGAAATGGCAGTTTGAAATCCAGAGAAACCGGTTTTTCAGAGATGTTTTAGGAAGAACGATTTACATTAAATGGATGGGGCCTTCCTGCAACCATGAAATAACCTATCTTAACTTGGGTACTGGCACATAGTAACCTTATTTCAATCTCTTTCTGCAAATTGGAAACTGGATAAATATCCATTTTTCCATGTAGATTTATACAGCTGTGAACATTGACATATTTTTCCATCTGTATTAAAATAGTCCCAAAAGTCTTCTAAAAGTTCTTAAATATTTAAAAAGAATTTAAATAAATCAAATATGAAACTCAAGAACTAGTTAATCACAACATAAAAATTTAAAGCTGGTCAGATTTTTCCCTTCTCCTTCCAAATCAAACTTTCAAATGAGAAGTTTCCACATTAGATCAATCAACTCAAATTCTAAATTTTTTTTTAACCTTTATTCATTTTTGAGAGACAGGGTGCAAGCAGGGGTGGGGCAGAGACAGATGGAGACACAGAATCCAAAGCAGGCTCCAGGCTCTGAGCTGTCAGCACAGGGCCCAATGTGGGGCTCGAACTCACAAACCGTGAGATCATAACCTGAGCCTAAGTCAGTTGCTTAACCATCTGAACCACCCAGGCGCCCCAGATCAACTCAAATTCTGAATGCCAGGTACCCATCTAGCATTTGACTTTTCCTATAAATGGAACTGATCCATCAGCAGTTAATTGCATATATATCCTGTGTACATTTGTGTACAGGTAGAGAGAATAAAGTAAAGCAAGTTTCATGCTGCTCTAACTACATTTTCTGCTTAGTATCTCTTGGGGCCAAAGGCACCCATTTTTAAGACAGGTCAGACATTTAAAAAAGGGGGAGGGCGCCTGGATAGCTCAGTTCGTTAGGCCTGGGGCTCTTGGTTTTGGCTCAGGTCATGATCTCATAGTTGTGGGGTCCAGCCCCAAGTGGGGCTCTGCACTGAGCGTGGAGCCTGCTTGGGATTCCCTCTCTCCCTTAAAATAAATAAATAAAATAAATAAATAAACATTAAAAAAAAAAGACGGTAGGTCAGAGATTAATCTAGCTGTTTTTGTTGTTTTATCTCGAAATATGCATGAGGGATAG